ACCTGCAAAGCAGGACTCTGTGGCTTAAACCTGCCACCAGTTGCAAGGAGGCAATCTTCACTGAACTCCAGCAGGAAAGGGATCCACATACCCTATTGCAGAAGGGAGCCCGTGACATGCTAACGCTAATGAGGAGCAAACTATAATAGGAACCGGAGGAAGCAAAATAGCAACAAAAAATTAGAGTTTTGTTTAGTCTGGGAAAATATCATGTATAATTAGCAACGGGCATCCTGTGGACGTGACGTAACCTATTTTAAGACCAAGGCAATCACGTGACTGGTTATGAGTCTCCTGCGTGTGATTCCCAAACTGCCAATTCATCTCTGGATGTTTGGGGGGTTTTTTTGTTTTTTGTTTTTTGGTTTTTTGTTTTTTTTTTGTTTTTTTGCTGTAATTTCAGGAAAAATCCAAAACACAGATTAACTCATGTCATCTCTGAGATAATGATGCTCATGCAGGGAATTGTGTCTCTGCAAGTTTTGGTTTCTGTTTGTAATGTGATGCTGATTTCAGGCCAGTCCCTTGATAGACCTGTCTTCTGCTAGCACCGAAGTCCACAAATGCCAGGCACGTGGCAGAATTGGGCATGCAGTTGTCACCACGTGATCTTCCAAATCTCAAGCTACAGACCCACCTGGGATGGGATCTGCTAACATGGGGTCCTTATGACATGACAGGTGCAGAGGTGCTGTCAGCAGATCTGATGACCGGGTGGGAGCTTGTAGATCATTTGCCAGGACCTGATTCTGCAAACCTACCAGTGAGGGAATTTCTGTTGGTGCTGACATTTGGGTTCAATCATAGAGGGCTTGCAAGAGATTTGGGCATTGGATCTCAAAAGCCTGAGGTTGGGTTGCCTCTAGAACAGTTGTTCTCAAACTCTAGGCCCTGCTTGGCTGATGCCAGCTCTTAGCTCTCACTCCTTGACTATGGAAAAATAATAGAGTAATTCTGTTACAGAGAACTCAGGAAGCTTTTGATACTCCAATTTGAAATCTCTGGGTTTATCTTGTGAAGCAAGTGTAAGTGTTTGCACACCTAACAGTGTGGCACACTTGGAAGTAACTCACAGCACTCCAGGTGCTGTGAGAATCACCGATCTGGGGGTTCACTTGTGCAGCTGGGTGCACAGCAAATGATCTGGACCCACTGAAGCCTACCTAGTCTCCAGAATCGGCCTGAAGGAAAACGGCACCCTGGGGAAACTTGTATTTTGGCGCCTCCCTCTTCTAAGTCAGCAGCGCTGCTGCAGGCAGAGGCGAGGCAGGGATGTGGGGTGCAGTCTGGCGGGGAGGCGGAGCGGCATGGTGCACCAGGTGGGCAGGTGGGCATGCACTGCTGCTGCTGTAGGGGGGCAAGGTGGGCAGACTGCAGCAGGCACCACCCGACCTGCACGTACCCAACCGGGTCCTCCTGGGGTGGGGGGCAAGCAGGACTGGGCACCGCTTCTCCTGCCTGGAGTGGGAATGGGTCATGACAAGGTGGGGTGGGGAGAGAGTGCTGCTGTGAGTGCGGGCTGCTCACACACGTGTGTGTGCATGTGTGGTACCCCCTGCCCATGGCACCCCAGGCAGTCGCCCATGTTGCCCGCCCCTAAGGCCAGCTCCGGATGTCCCCAATAGCAGGCTACTCTTTGCAAGATTCCTTTCTCCTCCGACCATCTGCTTTTCTATTAACCCGACGACACCTGAGCAGGACTCTCTATTTGGAGCCCGTACCAGACCAGTGCGCTGGCATGGGCGCAACCTGGTGCTGCCTGGCTGAAACTGCTAACCAAACCCCACACAGGTCCACGCGCTATTGCTGGCTTCAATGAGACGTTCTGTTCTCTTGCCCCTTTACTTCATCTGCTAATAGCTGCTCTGCTGCCCCCCAGAAGTGGCTGCATTTCAGTGATCCCTTCTATTTGCTGGAATTGTTGTTCGTAAAGTGCTTTGAAGCCCTGGATGGGAGCTACCATCAGAATAAGGATGCTCTGATGGAAACGTAAGGGAGGATTTCCCCCGTTCAGAGCTCTAACTGCACAGGCTCTCATCAGTTTTACGTACTGCCTACAGACTCTAACGAGTTTTGTCATAGACAGACACGCATCAAAAATTCAAATGCAGGACTGCTCTCTCTGCCACCTGCCCGTTTGGCAACTGAGATCAGCTGAGTTGAAATGCTTCTTCCATCTAAACACACTCTCAAAAAGGCGGGAGCCAGAGCCTTCTCTGTCAAAGTCCCCCAGATATGGGATCCCTTGCCTTTCACTTATTAGTGTGCACTATGGGAACAGCCCCATCGTTATCTGTGGGTACATCACCACCTAAACACTTCAAGCAAGGAGCAAGGCTGTATGCATCCGTGCCACACAAACCGGTGGCACTCGCCTCTCTGCTGAGAGCTAGCCAGAGAATTTTACACTGCCAAAGTCCTCCGTAAGGTCTGTTTTGAGGATTTCAGTGGAACTGGAGACATGCTTTGGGATGCTAATGGCAAGGTTATCCATAAAGGCCTATTTCTGCTTCTATTGAAATCCATGACCAAACTCTCATTTATAATGGATCATAGGTCCGGTCTGAAATTAATAGTCCTTAAATATTTTAATTAATGATAACATCACCACTTTCCACTTCTGTAACATAGGGCATTGCAGAATCTCAAAACGCACCATGGTTATCACATGACTGTAAGGCAGACGGTCCTTGTGGTAGTTAGGGGGATATATAAAAACTGCACAACCTGCCATGGAAATAGAGTCACTTCTGAGCTTGAACCCAGCATCTGCTTGACAGCGCGCAGCAAAGCTACTCAAGAGTTTGGTACCAATGCCTGAAGAAGGGTGTTTGTGCCCGAAAGCTTGCAAAGAACTTTTTTCCAACTATTTAGTTGGTCTAATAAAAGACATCACATCTCCCCAAAGAACCTTCCCTGCCTATGTCCTTAGACCCGCATGGCTACAACCAACAACCTTGCACCTAAAATGAAGATGATGATGGGGGAAAAATAAGAAAAAATGAACTGGAGTTTAGCTGGGGACCTGCAAATCACACCAGTTCCCATATGACAACTGCAACAAAGGAGCCAGATCTTGGGTGCTGGCCAGCAGGCATACAAATGGACTAAGGTGGCTCAGCATGACACTGTCCCACTCTGGAAAACAAATAATACAAAAGGGTCCTCATCTCATTTGCTGCTTTTTTGTGGCTCAGGCTGAGATGACAGCATATAGTAAGAATAAGCAGGCTCATGGTTTTAGGGACTTGCACAGGGTGGCATAGGAGCACACAGTCTACTTAAATGCCTAATAAGTGGAATAGGATCTGATCCAGAGTCTTTTATGAGGGTCGGCAAGTCAGTTCTATAGCTGAGCTTAAAAAGAGAAGCCCAAAGGTACTTAATACCAGGCTTGTCCATCCTGGGGAAGAATGATCGCTATGGGAGCGCAAGCACCTCTTCTGAAAGCACTTCTCTTCTTTGTGCGCAGGTCCTGATATCACCCTCATCCCCATAGCACCTTTGAGGCTAAGCAATATGACTAACATCTGTGCTGGGTCTGTCCAGAAGGAGAAGGGTATGTAGTGCGGTGCTTTGGCTTTAGATCTGGTTATAGGTTGCATATACACACGCCCCACTACATCTTTGCGCTAAAGGCAGGGTCAAGAAGCATGCTCTGCACTGGAAGTGGAAGGCGTTGAGCTTTGCATTGGTCCTTAGTCCCTGGGAAAGTTCATCCCACTGCAGGAGGATGGGGGGATGGGCCCTGAGAAAAAGGGCTTTCCAGCAGAAATGAGCTTCACTCTCACTATATTTTTCAGATGGCATGGGGTCTCACCTTGCTTGCCTTGTGAGAGCTGCCAGGACCCCATTCGAAAGCAATATGGCTGGAAACCAAGAAGTAGATCCAAGCAGCAACACGCAAATCAGAGCACACCTTATACATTAAGCAGAAGTCTGATCCGCAAGGAGCCACATCGGCTGGTTTGTTTTTACACAGGTTTAAAACTAGAGCAGCTACGGTGTTTTGTTCGTACACAGGTTTAAAACTAGAGCAGCTACGGTGCCGTAAAATGAAGCTGGTCTGGGTTTGCACCCGTGCAAGCCAGACCGGTCTGACGCAGTATTCCTTTCCAAAAGCACGCGCACTACCTCCCATTCAAACATTGCAATAAAAATAATGCAATTAAAAGAAAGTCATTCCATAAATTAAAATAAAAGCTAATGAACGCAAGTCCAATAGATCCCATTCACATGAACGCATCCTATACATTTTAAGGCTCAGAATTTTTAGATGAGCTGCAACCATTTATACCAATGGAAGATGTGGTCCAAAGGGCCAAATGTGACTCCCATAAACGAGAGCACAAATCCACTGCTGTCCGTGGAATATTTCTGATTTACCCCAGTACAACTCGCCGGAGGATCTGTACCCAAGCATCTGAAAATGAATGAAACTTGAACGGGATCTGCACATCTGTAGGACAGATACGATGTGTTTCAGCAGGAGCCCGGGCCCTCGGGAGTGCAAAGGGGATGCCCGGGCCCTCGAGAGTGCAAAGGGGATTTTTGTGGTATTCGCAGAATGTTTAAATGTGTCAATACAAGAGGAGTGTAATCACCAGCTGAGAAACTCCAGGAAATCAGCCAAACTTAAACAAGCGAAATGGAAAATAAAGAGAAGAGCAAAAGACAGGCATATTTTAAAACTATTACTGAGGTATGCATTCACGTGCTTAGGGGAGCCTGGGAATATATAAAGGCTGAAGACTGCTGAGGAATGAATTCACGGGCCGGTCTTTGGGGAGTACTTTTTTTTTTTTTTTTTTTTTTTGCTGTCAGTGACTTAAACTTCTCTCTAAGCTCTCCGAGTTTTAGTCAGCTGGCATGCAGCAGAGGTGCTACTTCCCCAAGGAAGCCCTTCCTCAGTCCTCACTGGAAGGAGCGTCCGAGAGACCGAGCGCTGCAAGCAGAAGTGGAAACTCCTCCTTCAGCCGCACAGCAGGTACGAGCAGAACCGCGTTAAACTTTGATTCGACAGGGAAAAGGAGCCAAAGCCTTTCTCTGACTGCAGGAGAAAAAGGGGATTCGGTGACTTAGAGCTCCAGCCCCGTAAAGCTATCACAGAGGATGATGGTCCCAGATAAATAACATATGTTGCATTTCTGAAGAGCCTGAATAACTGCCTAAACATACCGTGCAACAGGCGCTTTGCATACAGCTGTGCTTTTAATTCACTGGGGAGCTTCATTACAAGGATGCGGATCATGTTAAGTTAAGGAAGCACGGGTAAGTTTGACAACAGATCTACGGTGATATTGCTGCTTTATTCATGACAACAGGATTAAGACTTGTAGGAAGGTCTGTGGGGCACAAACTACTCTTTTTTTTTATATACGTATATACAGCGCCCAGAGTATTTGGGGTATAGATAAAGAACCTAATCATCATACAGAAAGTCCAGCTTTGGGAGCTAATATGCTAAGTACTGCTAGCCAGGGACTGAGATGCTTTCCAGCTCTGGCACTGATTCACAGCATGGCCCTGGGCATGTCACATAACCTCGCTGTAAAATGGGCATAACAATATCTATTTTAACTGGATGCCATCTTATTAATAGACACAGCCCATACTTGGGACATAGTGCAGGAGATATCAGACGGGTTTTTTTCTGCTCTAAGTGCAGGAAAAACATGGTAGCTCAGATTTTATGGTGGGCAAAAAATAACTTATTGGTAAGAACTGCTTTTTTGCACCTGGTATGTCATGATGATTACTAGATGTTTATACAGTGCACTCAAACCAGGAAAGAGCTCTCTCAATGCTGAATATTACTTTTCAAAATCCTCTTTCTGAATCCTGGGTCAAGGCTGACCTGGTGCTATAGATGAGGAAAATTCAACAATATCAAACTTCCCAACATAGAAACCTCAGAGAAAATATTGGAAAGCCAAACCCTGTAGCATGTGCGTGTGTGTGTGTGTGTTTCCTACATAAAAATCAGGCTTAATCACAACAGAAGACTTCTTTTTAAACTATAAAAGGGAAGTGTTTTCAGCTATTTTTAAATTTGTTAATATTTTGAAATAGTGATTTTTTTTTTGTTTTTACTCAGATACCAAAAATCTGTATACTCTCTTCTATTTTTATTTTTCAAGCAAAGAGTTATTGCTGAGTTAGAGGATACAATTTTTGACCTTTTTTTTTCTTCTCAAGAATGACACACTAACCACAGGAAGGCTCACTGAACACTGTTTCCAGCCAAAGGTATCTGAAATGAATTTCCTGGTGTCTTTTTCTCTCATTTTCAGTTATATAATCTGTATATCTGACTGAATTCTTCTTTAAAGACTGAATTCAGCTGGAATGAAGGCAGGAGGAAACTTCCTCCAAAAAAACCCCTCTGGTCCACTCTCCATGTAGACTCTCTATCTGTTCATGCAGAGAGAGATAGAGCTGTTCAAAAATGTCTCATTTTTGCCAAATTGTAATGCTTTGCAGGGTATTTTCTTTTCCGTACGGGAAAAGTTCTGGTATTTCATTTCAGTTTTCGGGAACTTGTCACAGTTGCTTTCCTGCTTGTCTTTCAGACTTGTGCCCATCACTGAAGTATCTCAGCAGCTTCCCTGTAAAATTAGGTAGCCAAGCCCCTCGTGCAATTTCTATTGCAATCAGGTTTTTATTTTCAGACGTCGCCCCTCATTTTGCTCTCCCCAACACACACGCACTTTCACTCCTTACGTTGGCTTATTTTGTTCCGACTGGAAAAAGGAAGGAAGCTAAAGAAAGTTTGTGAAAGTAGGGGGAAACACTTTCCACCTAGGCTAATTGCTTTTCCCTAAATGGGAAAGGAATGGTTATTTTTCCTCCTAGAAAAATAGGACGAAAAAAATTGGGATTTTTGAACAGAAAAGAGAGGACTGTGGTGGGTTTGCTATTTTTAAGAGGGAAGGGAAAATACAAGTTAAAAAGGGGCCCGGAGAATTGATGTAATGGCACCAGGGAGCAGAAGGGGGCATTTTTGTGTTCATTTTGTGCTGGGGAGCTCTAGGAAAACCAGTCAAGTTTGTGGCAGTGACCACAAGACAAGTGCGGCGTCCTCACATTGGTGTCATGAGCAAAGGCAGCAGTAGGACAATCCTGTTGGGCTGTTTTTGAAGGCACAGATGATTGAAGATGTACCCGGAGTGGGTCTTAGGCAAGACCCAGAGGCTGGGTTTTATTCAATACACGTACTCTTTATGCTTCATCCATCCTTTGGGACATCTGGATGCAGTGCCCAGAGGCAGCTCCCCCCTGGTGACACCTTCAGCATGGGGGCAGGCTAGAAGATAGCAAGTCTCTATCTAACCCTGCCCCGGAGATCAGGATTGCTTTCTTAGCAAAGAGACTATTTTTACTTGGCCGGGGGAATTTTATTCATAGAGCTCTGAGCCGAAGTTGCCCTGCACATTAGAGGAACAAGGAAATTAGTGGCAGGCAAACTCCAGGAGGTCTGGAGGTTCAGCTCACATCATCGCTTAAAAGGAAAAATGTTTATCTGAAGCCCTTGGGAATTTGCAATGCATTTCTGGAAGTCTCTTGAGACTCGGCTCTGGGGATTTTTACAACTTCCTGCTTCTGGTCACCCTGGGAAGAGCCTGGGAACAGCTTGTGAATGAGAGGTGTGGTCGAACTCACAGCTAAGTCAAGCTGTCGCTCTGAAAGGGCATGTCTGTAACCATCAGGAGTAAAACGCAGCTCAGTTCAGGGGGAGAACAAGCAGACGGTGATTATTGCTGTGACCATGGCCCGATTCCACAGGGTCACTCTTACCCTCAGCTCCTTTTGACGTCGATACCTCCATTTCACAGTCTGGGAGCGGCACTTACCGTATGTTTCTGGGGTATTAAGGCTCTAACTAGCCGATGTTTCCACCGCTCTTTGAAGAGATAAATAGCTAAGGAGCATTACAGTCCAACCCTAGAAGAGGGACACGAGGTTCTTTGGGTGAATCTGCTCCCCCAACTTAAATAGTTGGGGGGAAAAATTTTCTTAGCAAACTTTCGGGTTTAAAAGCCCTTCGTCAAGGGTTAACCCCTAAAGCTTGCTAAGACATTTTTTTCCCCAGCTATTTGAGTTGGTCTAATAAGACATATCAGATTCATCCAAAGAGCCTTGTCTGCCTATGTCCTTAGACCAACACGGCCACAACCTACACCCCTGTCACCCTAGAAGAGCAAACCTATGTAGATACAATGACAAAGGGAAATTAGCCAAGTGTTTCAGGGTCTTTGAAAGAGTTTGCATTTAGATCAGTGCTGGGGACTGACAATGGGATGAGGAGTTTCTTAAATCTTTCCTAAAGTGGATATTTGTGACCGTGCCCACTTTTGGGGCACTCTCATGTGTCTCCCAGGAGGTAAAGTGGAAACCCAGAGAGAGCACACAGATAGATGGTGAAAAAAGGGTATCCTTAAGCTGTCAGGAAGCAGCACTGATCTAGAGAGCTTAGAGCAGCTGGGCGATGAGGTCCCACTGCTGTGATGGGATTGCACCCAGCCTGTCCTTAGGAGACGTGCCAGAGCAATGATTTAGTGCCCCTGCCTGCTCAGACCAAGAGAAATCTAGCAACACATGGGCTCCGTGTGAAGAGACCCAAATGCAGCAGGCTGATGAGCATCCATCTGCTGGAGACCAGACAAGCTGATGGGCAAGAAACTTCCCTGGCAGTCATAAATGATTTTCCCCTTCTCTATTCACTATTCCTCATCACATCGCTACAGGCTCCGCTAAATGAGCCCCGATGCTTGCGCCTCCCAGGATAACAAGGGTCCTATTTCAAAGAGCTCTTTTTAGACCCCAGCTTAAAAAACTGGGCAGGTGAGATTTGGAGACGGCAGTGGCATGAACATAGGGAGGGATCGTCAGAGGCAGGTCTGTAGGTAGGAAGAGACATGTGGCTGATGAGCAGCCAGCCCAAGAGGGCAGCATGAACTAATAAACGTGTAAATCGACTCTCAGGAAATCTGAAATGATCCTAATAGACAAATTCAGGCAAAAAAAAAAAAATGTCCTGGGTGAAGAGACAGGCAGATGGAGTACTGCACGCTCCCTGCCAGGAGTCAAACAGCTTGCCACACATAGCAGGGCATCAATCCAGCAGCCTTTGCTTTATTTGAGGGTATCCTGCTCATCCATACAGGGACATCATACACGTATATTCTGGCTGACAATGAATTCCCATTTACCTCCAAGGGAGGGATAGCCGTTTCGTAACACAGAGGGCAAATGGATCAGCACGACGACCTGTGGGAATAAGGATCGCTCCTTTAACTAAAGGGTCCAGATCGAGGGCTTGCTTGGCATCAGTCACTGGATTTCCTAACGTATCGTCCTCAAATACCCATTCACCGGTTGCAACAGGGAGGGAGGTATCAGGGATTCGGAGGGTCCCTGTCATACGCCCAGCGGCTCTTTGCACCCCTTCAGGAATGTGTCTCGCAGACACAGAAGCCAAAAGTAAACACGGTGGCTGATCCCTATGCCAGCTAAACAATGGAGTCTAGAGACAAGGCAAATATTCCTCTGGGCAAACAGGGGCCCCGATCCTGCAAGCACAGCCCAGCCAAAACCCCCGGATTTCTCAACCCGCGCTTTTCCTGGGTCGGGGGTCTCCAGCACGGCGCTTTTTGCTTTTCCCACCCCACCAAAGTGGCTATTAGGACCCGGAAAGCAATCAGGGGAGGAGTTAAAAGGGAAACAAGGGACAGCATTTAAAGCAGACGCTGTCCCACATAAGGCTATTTCCTTTAAAAGGCTCACAAGTGTCATTCCAGGCTGCCCAGAGTTCCCAATGAAGCGCTTCACATCCTGAATGGGTGAGAGTGAAAATCAAAAGGATGATCTAATTTCTCCCAGAGTTGAATCAATTCTGCAAAGCTGGATAAGATTGTTGTAGTTACATCCATTCACAGGGTCGGAAGGGGCCTCAGTGGGCCATCTAGTCTGACCCCCTGCAAGAAAAGGGTCACCAAACCTGGGATCATGTGATCCCAGCCAGGTGCCTGTCCAGTCTCCTCTTGAAGACCCCCAAGGATGGGGCGAGCACTACCTCCCTATGCATGATAAGCAGTGAGTGGGAACGCAAGTAATGGAGCTGTGAAATAAGATAAATGTAATATACTCTTTTCTTGAAAGCCAGTAATGCCTCGCACTGGGGAGTTTGGCGTGCAGGGGAATCAGGCCTGTTGGGAGGGAGGCATATTTGTGATCTGGGAAGCTTTGATAGGACACATTTTATTACTGTGCTTCTCCTCAGTTTGGGGTCCCTGTTTGGAGGAGAAAATCCTCGCTAATTATTGTCTGCCAATCTAACCGCAGGGAAATCCGGGGTGTGTTTTTGAAACGTGCACCTGAAATAGTTCACACGTATTAATGCATACAGTTTAATGCAAGGGAGTGCGGGGGAAGGTGGTTAAAACCTTGCACTCAGAATTAAAAGATAAATCTTTAACTACCAGTGCTGCCATCATGCAAAACCTTGACAATCGGTGTCTCAGTTTCCCCACCTGTGAAATGGAGATAACACCCATCATCTCTCCCATGCTTTGTCTTTTTAGAGGATGAGCTCCTTGGCCTCCACTAAGATGGCACACAGGACAGGAGAGAGAAGGATGAATCTTTTTCTCAGAAAGTCATTTGCAATCCAACCACAGATGGGCTCTAGGTAGAAAGACAGAATATTAAAAGTGGTTAAAGACTCAGTCCTGAAGATAGTGGGAATGTTACCTCTGACTTTAATGGGAACAAGCTGGGAATGAAGCTGCCTGTGCTGCAGGCTCAGTAACAGCTCCTGTGATATCAAGTTACCACTTTTGCTGCTCCCAAATTGCTTTTGAGCACAGCTGTCAACACCATCAGTCCAGATGTTGGTGGTTAGACTTCAGTGATGGCTGCAGGACTCTCTGGGTCTCCATCCCTGCTTTAGCAGCCTCCCCACAGGCCCGGCCATGTGCATTTACTAGTGAAGGGAAGGGATGCACAGTGGGGAGGTACACAGGGTACTTGAGGCTGCAAAGAACCAAAAGGAGAAGAGGCTTCATGAACACAAGGACCCGGTACCCCATCGTCCGCAGCAATTAATCCTGAGATATGGAGATGCCATCTGACCCAACGGTTAGGGCAGGAGCTTGGCAACAGATTACACTGCGTTCCTGTACCAATGCGACTCTCGCCTTAGGCCTCTTCTAGGCAGCTTTCTGCTCCACTACTAATTGGCCCAAGGTCACACAGCAAGTCATTGAGCCGCTCTAGGCCAGACTCTGTCCCGGCTACTAGGTGCGCAAGTGGACTTAGGCGCCTAAGTGCAATTCTCTGCCATTCTGCTCAAGTCCCTGAAAAACTGTCTTTCTTCCTCTCCCGGCTGCTTTGTAGCTCAGTCTTTGGGGCCTTGCCATCCAAAAGGCAATGGCCCCATGCAGCAGATGACACTGTTACAGAAGCAGATGCATTAAATAATTTTCAGGAGTCACACAGGGTGCAATAGATTCAGACATCTAAGTGGACTCGGATGCAATAGGAAGAGAATCTGGCCCTGTATGCCTCTCTTTCCCCACCTCCTTGGGAGGGAAAATACCAGTGTCCCGCTAGATATGTGAACCTTCCTTTACTAAAACTTGTCGAGTCCTTGAAAGCCTGTAGGCTGGGGGCAGAAGTGACACGTAAACTGGTTTAAGTCATCAGAAACAGGTTTAAAGCTGTAACAGAACAGAAGCTCAGTGCACATAAACCAGTTTCAAAATGGCTGGAACTGGTTTAAGATAAACGTGGTTGAAGGTAGTATCACATTTAACTGATCTGGGTCAAACCAGTGTATGAAACTTCTGTCCTAGGCCTCAATGTGCAAAAGAAAATTTCCTTTTAGTCAGAAAAATGCTTCCTACTAAAAGTCTCTGCACACTGAAGGTTCCCAAGGACTTCACAAGCTTTAACGCGGGAAGGTTCACCTGTCTAGCAGGACATTAGAGACTCCAGTGGAAATAGGACATGGTCATGGCTGCATGGGATGGTGCTGGACCCAGCAGGGATGTACAAGAATGTGTGCCTTTATCTACCAGTATCCATCAAGGCTCATTCCTTTAGATTTAGACATGGAAGGTGTCCACCCAGTGGCATAGTTTCCTTGCTATTATTTAAAAATTGCAAATAGTGAATAAACATTTTGGCTTTTTTTCTGTATTCCAGTACACCTAGGGCATGCCTTTGATGACGGGTGCAACGACAGAGCGGTGAACGGGTCTTGCTACTTCTCCAGAGTTGGAAGTTTAAGACCTACTCCAGGCTCAGGTCAAAGGCCACCCCCAGTAGACCCCAATGTAAATGGGTCCTTGGTCATTCTGGCTGGAAAATGAAAAGCAGCCGGTTGTTATACTGGCTACATCCCTCCCTTGTATATGGTGGACTAAGAAACCAGTATGTCTTAGTCACAGTAGCTTACTGGGACATTAGGCTTGGATGAACATTTGATACTGCAAATAATGGTCCCTCTTCAACATCAGCAGCCCAAACCCAACCCCATGAAGTTTTACAGTATGCTCTGAAGATCAATAAAATTGGATTATTTTGAAACAAGTGGGGAGGGAATTCATGGACAGCTCCTGTCCTGTAGATTGTGATCCCATTTAATCAACTCACCTCTGGGAACAGCTCTGCTAGCAGGAGTCAGAAGGTTTCACAATCACCCTGTAAAATGCATACTCTTAGCTATTTTAGGCAGGGGGAAACTCAGGCATAAAGGAAGCCGAGAAACTTTAATCACAGGGCAATAAGTGCTAGGTCCTCAACTAAAACACACATATCTCACGGCTCCCAAATCTCTGGGATCTCTTCCTTGCCTCCCCCACCTTCCCGCATGGGTTTTTTCTAAACTGGAATAAGGAAAACATGTTCTGTAAACAGAGAGCGTCACATGTGACCCGTTTCCTGGAGCCATCCCTGCTGTTTGCTGTTGTTGCGAGGAGGAAGGTAGATGGTTTCCCTCACAGGAAGCCTAGGCAATGGTTTATAAAGAAACATGCCAAACAATGGAGTAAGTGGCATGACGGGAAGAAAGCAAACAGCCGGCAGAGGGGAATCGATGTGTGTTGCCTTGGGGCAGAGGGGAAAACACACTGCACCCTTCAGTCAGTCCGATTCGGGACCTGGCAGCAGCGTGATGGATGGGACGTGTTGCAGATGGAGCCCTGACAACAAGGTTAGCCAGAATTTGCCCAGGAAAAGCTCTCGGATGTCACACCCTAGCACACCTGCTAGTGCCACTCTGTGTCTAGCCATCCAAGCCACTTTGCACTGAAGTCCCAAAGACAGCCGGCCTGTCACTAGGTGTGTCCAAACAATGACTCTGCAAGCAGAGTTTCACCACCTGGGAATTACCCCATGTATATTTTTAGCCTCAAGAAGAGCTCTGGGAGGCAGCTGCTGAAAGAGTTGTCATGTTTACAAGGAAGTGGGGTGGGTTTTTTTTAACAAAAGAGAGTGGGAACCACTGATTACACTCAAGAAAAAACACTCAACCTCCATATTTGATCTCACCTTCTAGAAAATGGGCATAATGGTACTATTAAAGGCATCGTGGCTGACTAGGAATCCTTCCATGTGCTGTTGGATGATGCTGCAGGAACAAAAAAGCTCTGCCATGGGCGCATCGACACGTGCACTTTACTGCACATTAGACTAATTTAATGTGCAGTAAAGCAACACTGTCTACACATGCTCTGCAATTAATGCACAGTAGATTAATTGATTCAGACACAGGTACTATCCTAGACTGCAGTACAGTACTGCACTTAAACACACATGTAGATGGTGATGTTGGGATTAGATTACTCCAGCTCAGATTAAGCTGGAGTATATTCAGTTGCATTAATTGCACGTGTAGGTGCACCCCCTATTTTGGGTTACTTTTTGCATATGCTTAACCTCATAATTTTTCCTTCTCTGTGTAGTGTCTGACAGAGGGAAATTGTTGGCCGGCCCTTTCTCTGGGGTCCTGTAGCTACAATCTGCCAGCTCTGATGCACATTCTAGCTTCATTATGAGGATGTGTCACCTAAAACTTTCTGTCTTTTTCTATGGATAACTTTCAACTGTAAGTGGTGGTTGAACTCACTGGCAAGTCTCAGCACCCACGATGCATCCATTTTGCACCCACTATTTTCCTAGGGCACTTAGGATGTGTCTATACAATGCCACCAGCCTATCCCAGCTGGGACAGTCCCAAGCAGGTCCCACTCACCTGCTCGCTCTCTCTGTCATGCGTGAAACTCAATAACAGGCCAGAGAAGCTTTTCTGGTGGCATCCTCAGTGACCGCTTCTAAGCAAGCTGGACACCGAGATTTCAAGAATAGCCACAAAGGGATGCTCCCAGCAACCTAAACTGGCATATTCCCAGGTTGGAGCAGGAGAATGAAAGCAGGTGGGTGGGAATATGCTCAGGAACTGCTCATCCAGGTCACACCACAAAGCGTAGACCAGTGGTTCTCAACCAGAGTGCTGTGGTACCCTGGGTGCCACAAGATCCTTTTATGGATGTGCAAGTTGGAGCACAAGATAAACCCAGAGATTTCAAATAGACATCCATAGTGGCAAAAACATCTTTCTGAGTTCTTTGCAACAGAAGATTTGTTCTATTATTTTTCAGTGGTCAAGAAACAAGTAAAAGGCAAGAGCTGACCTTTTCCAAGGAGTGCGTTGAGTCTAACAAGGCTGAGAACCATTTGTGTAAATCAGAGGGGTCAAACTCATCGGGCCTTATTGGGCCCAAACTCCCCATGCAGCAAGCATCACAGTGGTGTACAGATCCAACCCGAGACTCACGGATAGCACCAGGGGCCAGATGATAGGTGCATCTTTGACACCCCAGTATATATATATAAACCTTCACGTGTCTGTCAGTACCTGTGATGGATTCTCAGCATTCGCATCCATACGTGAAAAGGGAAATAACATTTGTAGTGAAGACTTATACTATATGTCCTCTAAACTGTATATATTCAATGACCACACTGGAGTCCTGTGTGACTTCATTAGGAAGTGTTTAATACCCTGGGATAAGAGGGTCCATCAGCACAGAAAACATTACCAGTGTTTTATATTTATTTAGTGGCACCAGTTTGCTCAGCTGAAGATGAAGGCAACATAGAAGACTGCTGAGTCCACAGCAGTTCTCACTGAGAACGAGAGGAGTACTGAAGTGAAGTCAGGTCTCTTGGGAGCTGTCTGGCAATGAGCTTTTGAGAAAATCTGGCTGACAGTCAAACAACAGATAGAATAAAACACAGTGGGAAACCCAGGGAAGTGTTGTGCTTTCCTTGCCATCAGCCATATTCTCCTGTACCTGCTAGAGTGGGTCAGACAGGGGATGATTGAGGAGTTTGCACTAAACTTAGCAATGGACCAGTGAGTTCTGGTGTTGCTCAATCCATCTGATTATACACATGCATTGCTGTGCTGGACACTGCTTTCGAACCTCTTGCATGGACTTACCACTCTGCTTAGTTGGAAATCCAATTACAATTGCTTTTCCCTACTGACAGAAGGCAGGGTAGATTTATTGACCCTACCTGACTTCAGACTAACATGGCTAACTCTCTGTCTTTTCCCTGCAGAGCCATGAAACTGTACATCTTACTCTTCCTGGCAGTGGTGAATAAAGGGATCTCTACCTATAGGCCCTCGGAAGAGTCACCCTGTGAAATGGTAAGCATTTATGCAAGAGCCATCATCTTCTTCAAGTCTCTCTTAATGTATCAGTAGTTTAGTCAGACAAGGTTCCTTGGGTGAATTTGATATCTTTTATTAGACCAATTCAAATTGTTGGAGAATAGTTATTAAGCAAGCTAGTATAGTAGCATGCAAGCCCTTTCCAAGGAGACATCTCACTGTAAAGATGCTCTGTAATGATACCCCCTTGCTCCTAAGAGTTTCAATGTAACTGTGGGGAGAAATATGAAGGGAGGGAGAAAGGAAGGATTTTTATCCCCAAATTGGAGATGGGACTCGAGGCACAGAAATGTCAATAGCTGACTCTCAAGTTCAGGGGAAGCCCGTGGCTGAGTGAGGATAAAAACCCAGGTCTCCTGAATCCCACTGTCCTAGCCATAAAGCCAGCCTCTCTTCCAAAAACATCTTATTTAAATGCAGAAACAGTGATAGTGAACCTGAGGCTGATTTCATACCAGCTTATCACTGATCTTCCTGATTTACACTGGAGTGAGACTGGATTCACACCCACTCAAGCAACCTCCAAGTCCAGAGTAGAATTTGGCCCAGAGATTTTTTTTTTTTACCATATTATCTCACATACAGCACCCATTTTCCCCCAACAACCAGCTGCTAGAAATTGTAGTGCATGTTATATGCAAGCAATACAGTAAAGCAGTTTCTGCTACTTATCGGGGAAAAGCTGCAGTAAAAACTGCATGCAATTCGCAGGGGGCAGAGCAACGAGGAGGCTCCGTTCCCTCACTGCTCCTACTCACTTACTTCCTACAAGGAAAGCTGGTTTTGAAAGGCAGAACAAAGGGAAAAACAGAAGGTGTATAGTTTGTTCTGGGGCACATTGTGTGTGAGAAAATATGGTCGTCATCACAGAAACAAGAACAGAAATAGTATTCAGAGAAGACCACGCTCCCCACTCATTCTCTTCCCTATCCTGCTGACAGTAAAGGCCATTTAAAAATACTTATCTATTTTTTTTTAATGTTGAAGCTGTTCAGTACGTATCCCAAAGAATGTCCAAAATAGGGAAAAAAAATAATTCGTTGGCTGCACAGATCTCCCCTATGGGACTCATTCCTTTCCTGCCCACCCTGCTGAATTAAGGCACTTCCTGAATTCCAGGGAAATTAAGGGCTAGTGTATAAAAAGAACATGGGAAGGTGACTGGCTATCTCGAGTCACTGGCTAGAGTGGAAGAAATGACGAAACTATTGTAAACAGGACAGTTTCAGTCCCGTACATTATTGAGACATGCAATCAGCTAACAAGGCTCGTCCCCTCCCCGTGTTGTGGTGGGTCGTAGATCTGCTGCTTCCTTGAGAAGTAAACATGTGCTTATTTCTGCAACTCTGCTATAAACTGCAGTCAGCTGTGCAGGCAAAGGAAGAGTCCAAAAAAATTTCTCATCCGTTTTGGGAAACCAGGATCAATTCCATGCAGACAAAACACTCTCTCCGGTCGGTGGTTCAGATCCCCAGCTGGGGGAAACTGACACAGCACTGTTAATTTCAGTGGTGTGACACTGACCAACCTCGGTTGCTGGTGTGTCCCAGCAAGACAGCATCACCAAATTAACTTAAATAGAGAAAGTGATTGGAAGTCCCTAATGTGTCACTGTTTGATTTTTGCATCGTGGTCTTATAAGGTACTTTTCTGGTGGTGACACCTTTAAAAGAAAGGAGGGTCATAACTGGAGTCTTATTATCCAAACGCCCCTGAGGACTGAAGCTTTATAAAACCCAGACCCAACTCTGAGTCACTGCTGGTTTTGGTTTTACTAAACCATAACCAACCCCCCAAAATCACCTGTCAGCTAGCGTCACTCAGAGTTAGTAAACACGATTTGAGGACTGGGGCCAAAGTCGAACACTCAAACACTGGTGTTGTGGATAAATAGGGCAGGAGTGCAACCATCCTATCAGTCACGTTTGGGGAGAGGGAGGAGATGACCATTTCTACCTAGAGCCAAGAGCAGAATTTGAATCCAAAGACAAATCCAAACCTTCCCCGAGCTGCAGTCATTGAACCAATTTTTATCTAGCGCATGAATGCAGAGCAAATGCCAAAGGGAGCAAAGAGCTTTTGCGGTGTTAGCACTGCCTGGCAATGCATGTTGATACCCACAAGAACGGGGCTGGCAGAGCTCCCAGTGCTTAGGCTATGGGGTTATCAAAGATCAGGGAGACAGAGAGAAGGTGTGTCCGCTCCTGCACACTCTCTCTCAGTCAATTTATGCTGCACACTCACTTCAACTTTCCCTCCTTTTCTGCCTGCTTGGGAATAAATAATAAATGAATAAATAAATAATAAAATGCAGGAGTATAGCATGGGTGAGATATTCATCCATTCTGTGCATTGGGTAGACATGAGTGCCGAAAGCAGGGAATAGGACAGTGGGTACAGCGGGGGATGGCAGGTGAGGCTGCAAAATGTGAGCATCTTTCTGGCTCGTGGTAACTTCACCCATTTCTGCCTCCCCCTTGTCCTCAAGCTGAAGGAAACAAAACCTCCTGGTTAACCCAGCTGCTTGCCTGCTGGCTTCTTAGGGACTGTGGGGTTAGCCCATTTCTGTTCATTGTTCAGCTTAAGATGAGCAATTCTATCGTTTCCTTGCAGGAAGGAGCTAATGGCTCAGGGAAGTCGGTTTGAGCCATCAGCTGTGATTTGTGTGGACCAGAAAGTTCACATTTCAATGTGCAGGTTGCTCGGGAGCTCTCAGACAGCTTTATCACAAGGGAAGCATCATGCAGCAGCCCACGAATATCTGGAGTTCAGTTTTGGATGAGAAACCTTTTTTGTCTGGCATGTTTATGACACGGCACACATCCGGAGATGTGTACTCTCCATTACTCGCATGCTTATGTGATTCATAAAACACTGCCCAGCTTCTCCTAAATATTCCTGCCGTTCATCCACCCAGGGGTTTTTGTGAAACAGATGTTTAGAGAAGGAATTAAAAAAAAGAAAAACCCTTCTGAAGACCTAATACCAGCCCTTGCTTCACAAGCTCTGACTCTAAGGATCTAACACTCAATATAAGATTCAACAAGCGCTTTTCCTACCTCTCTGTAACAAATGGATGACCCAGTCACCCAGGTACCTAGATAGGTACTGCTGATTCGATGTTTGCTAAGCATTTTGCTCTTTGTTTCTAATCTTTCTGGTAGGCATTACATTTTAACAACACGTACGACCATATGCTTACACAAAGCCTTTTAGCCTGATGCTCCCAAAAATTCCTTATAACCTACAGTTCAGTTCTGGCCCTGGATACATGCTCACGACTCCTTTCAATTACAATCAAACCCATGCAAGGGAAAAGTTTGACTTTGATGTCTGACTACTCAAATGTACCTGTGGCTGAAAGGCCACGTCCCTCAAACATCACAACATATCCCCCAGCTACAGTGCAGACGAGCTCCTCTCATCCCATTCCCCATTGCATTGTTTTTGCTCCATCCAGTGTTGTATATGCCAGCAGTCGTGGTGCCAAAAGGAAGAAACTGTTGCCTTGGAGAAATACAAGCAGAGAGGAACAGAGAACTGGACAAACTCGAGAGGGTTCAGAGATGTTATGGTAGCTGGAGAACTTTAGTTCAACAGGTGCTGCGTAGCTAAGCAATGATTAAGGGAAAACGCAAATATCTGAGGGGTGAGAGCCCAACTTCTAATTATACAGGGCTGATCTGCTTTCTCCCAAAGAGGAGTCCTTCACTTGGAGAGTACTTTTGCTGAAGTCAGTGAGTACCAAGAGCAAAACCCACAAAACTTGAATGAAAGATTTGGTCGACTATGGACATGGTGAGAGCCTTGTCACATACGGCCTTTAAAACTAGACCCTATAGAGCTCTAATTTGCATTATAATAGATCTGAAGACTCTAAGGACACAATTCTCCTCTCCCATAGGGCTCGTCTCCATTGGGAAATCAATAGGTATATTAATTCCTTCTATGTGGACATGACTTTATTCTGGTGTCATTCCATTCACAAGAGATTACAATCCGCCCTGTGTTTTGAAGAAATATTAAGACAGTCAAACAGTTTGTTGCCTAGAGAAAGATCAGAAATAAATGTAAAAGTGAGCCGAGAAAGGGAATAGAAATCCGAGACTGATTTCTATGTGCTTTACCGTCGATGCAAAGCTATTGAACTTCCCATAACTGATAACTAATACTCTCTTTTTTTCTCGTCTCTGCAGGTGAACATGGAGGCAATCTGTCACAGCAAAGATCTTCACCATATCCCTCCTGAGCTCCATCCCAATGTAAATAAAATAGATTTTTCTGGAAATCAGATACAAAATATCCCTTTAAAGCCACTGTCATTTTATACATCGCTGCAGCATTTGTATTTCAACTCCAATCAAATAAGTTTTATTGAACAGGGAGTGTTTGCACACATGACAAGCTTGGTGGAGATCAATTTAGCCCATAATCGATTGGATAGGTTTATTCAGCACAGAACGCGAGGGGTCGGACTTCTACCCAACGTCGCCACATTGGACTTGTCCCACAATAGCCTTTACAATGGGATGACTGAGTATTTCACACATGAAGCACCGTCACTCCAGTACCTTTCCTTGGCAGAAAATAGCATTACATTGATATCACGTAGGACGTTTCAGGGGTCTCCCGCTCTTGTCGAGGTTGACCTCCACAGCAACATCATCATGGAAATAGAAGAAGGCGCTTTTGAAGCTCTGCTGAATCTCTCCAAACTCAATCTCTCCATGAACTCCATCACATGCATTGCTGACTTCAGCCTCAGGCAGCTGCAAATATTGGACCTTAGTAGGAACAGCATAGAGTCTTTTCACACCACAGAGTCAGAGGAAGAATTTAATATGACGTGGCTGGATCTTAGTGAGAACAAGCTTATGTACTTCCCAACTTTCCCCCAGGTGAACAAGCTGGTGTTTCTGAATTTATCTAAGAATTTAATTCAGCTTTCTGCAGAATCCCCTCGTGACAGTGTGGACTATATGGAAAGAGATTGGCTGGGAGCTCCTTTTCACAATTTAGATCAGAACCAACATAGAAATAAAAGTGAAGCTCCTTTTCATATTTTAGATCAGAACCAACATAGAAATAAAAGTGCTCTGTCTCTACCCCAGCTTTCATATCTAGACTTAAGTTATAATGAGATCAAATCCATCCCCACTGAATTTTTTGACTCCATGTTCTCTCTCCAGTTTCTCAATCTCAGTAAAAACTGCCTCCAGACTTTCTCCATAAATCACGACAGTGCATTAATCTCACTAACAGTTCTTGATTTAAGCTTTAACGCGCTACAGAGCCTTGTCCTAGATGCCAGCACATTGCTTGATTTACAAGAGCTCTACATTCAAAGCAATCATCTTCAAGCCTTGCCATTCGATATCTTTGCAAGGCTGCCCAGGATCAAATTGCTTCATCTCCAGAATAATAATATTAGCCTTTGCAGCATGTATTCAGGATTAGTTAAACAAAGGCTTGCCGGTGAGGAAAATGGCTGTATATCATTTGTCGATTATCCTACTCTTCAGTACTTATACCTAGCTGACAACATGTTGAGAAGCCTACCAAAATATACTTTCTATAAGACTTCACTAATTGTCTTGGATCTCTCTATAAACCCAGGGCTGAAAATAGAGGCTAAGGCATTATCAGGACTGGAAAATTCGCTTGAATATTTGCAATTGCATGGCAACAGCATAACAGATTTAAATATCGACCTGCCTTATTTTAGTGTCCTGAAATATTTAAATCTCTCAGAAAATCAGCTGAGCTGGTTACCAAAGTGGGGTCAGGATGCTTCTTTGGAAGTTCTGGATCTCCGGAACAACAGGTTTAGTACGCTAGAGAAAAGTAATATTTTGGCTTTAGAGCCTTCTCTAAAGAGCTTGTACCTTTCTGGAAACCCGCTGAGCTGCTGTGAAAATGTCTGGCTCTCTGCCATGATCCAGAATAAAAATGTAGAGCTCCCCAATGCAGAACAGATAACGTGCCAGTACTCCAAGAGCTTTGGCTTCCAAGAAGAAATATCCATTAGCAACATAAAACCACAAGACTGTGAAAAAGAGGATCTAAAGAAAATTAACTTGCTCATTATACTAACGTTTGCATTGGTGTTGATAGTTATCATCATTGGCGTGTGCTCGTTTTGTTGGTTCCGCAGAGAAAGGTTTGGCCAGCAATTTAAAGCATAGCTCATGGACTAACTTGGTGACACTTCAAACCAGGTGCTGCGCTACAGACTGCAGAAATGAAGGGAAACGTTTCTTATTTTTGATATCAACTATGGACGTTAAGCCTATTGCCATTCTGCTCTCAGCTGCACCAGTATCATTGCTTAGGGTTGCAATATCCTAACATCTGGGAGGAGAATTTGTTATATATTGCACTTGTTCCAAGCTGAAACAGAACTGTGAAACTGCATATGTAAAACTCTGCTTGCATGAGTTTTTTTGATCTTAAAAAAAATGCCTGGGGCCCTATAAAACCATCACTGAAACTCAAAGCACGGTCTTTGGCTATCCCTAGATACTTGATCTTTGCAAACATTTTTATCATGGTTTAAAGTCATTTTTTGTGACAATAGGTGGACCAATGAATCACACCCCGGGTGTGATAAGTCCTTGTGCACTGTCTTAATGAACCCGTGTGTTCGTACCACTTGGATCCAAGTTTTGTTGTGTCACAACTTCAGGACAGTTCATTTCAAAGGAGGTAAAGCCACGGGAGGCAAGACCAGTGAGAACTAGAGCTGGCTCTAGCCCTTTCACTGCCTTGGGCAAAATAAATGTTCCCTAATCACATAAGTAACCAGGCTAAACAGCTAGAAATCACTAGAGATGCCTCCCCTTCAATTATGCCACCCTGAGCAACTGCCCAGTTTGTCCACAGTTTGGTTCTGCCCAGATAAATACCAATATGTGATTTTTTTGCTCTTCCAAGTCAACCACAAATTTCCCATTCAGTACAAAGCAAGCAGAAGAAAGCTAGGCATCTCAGGAACAAAAAGTCGATGGAGCTCAGGACTGCCACTTTGATACAAATAAATATTTCCAGGTGTTTTTAGGGATCAAAAGGGCCTCCCATCCCAAAACTATAGGCCTCTATTGCTTGAGTTAAGGAGATCCCAACCAGATAGTATAGGGTTGTCAATCTTACCCCATGCCCTAGACTGGGTCTGGACTGTGGGGATCCTTTATGGGCTGGATCCAGGGGCAACACAAGCACGCAAAGCAGTGGGACAAGCAGCAATGGGACAAGTGGTCACGTGTCACCGTGGAGGCAGCTCAAGTGGTGGTGGCAGCAGGACAAGTGCTTATATGTTAACTGGCCGCAGGGCACATGGGGCTGCATCAGCACAGCCCTCGCTCACCTGCCCGCTGCCAAGGGTCATGTTTGACACCCCTGAGTAGATATGAGGCAGTTCCAGTCCCTGGGGCTACTCAGTAAAGGAGGACATGCTTACACACACTAAGCAGCGTCTATAATGCCTCCTAGAAATTGCACAGAAATCTGCACTGAGGATCCCAGTTCCACCCTTCAGCTCAGAGGAGAGACATTTGTCCAGAGAGTGCAATAGGTATTTTACTGGCTGTTACATGAAGAAATTCATTTCTTTGGAGACGCTTATCAAAATCTTTCCCAGAGGATGAATTGCAAGCGGCAAATAATCAGACCTAACTATTTGTATTTTTACAAACACACAGCCATTTCAAACTCCCTGTGAATAGTTCCACTTCAGTGCATGAAAATAAGGTCAAAGAAAGGGGATGGGGCTGGAGGACTGGGCCTATACACCAGGACTCAGGCAGTAAAATGAGTTTGGCAAGCCCCAAACCTAAAGAATGTATTAGGGGGGACACACAAGTCTTGCATCTACTCTACTAAGCTATCCAGGCCACGTGGTGGCAGAGTGGTTGAAATGTCTCACAATGGCTTCAAAGATGTAGATTTGAGCTTCACTCCGGACTCATACTAAGAGTTTCATAATGAGATTCATAGATGTTAGGGGCTGGAAGGGACCTTACAAGATCAGTGGGTCCAGCCCCCCAACACTTGCACAGGAAAGACAACGGGGGTCAGATGTTGTCCCCAGCTAATCCAGCTGCAAATGAATACCTAGTCGTTTGGGCTACGGAGTCAAATGTGGCTACATATGAAGGCTAGCCCCATCCACTCACCTTGAATGCCAGTGGCTACAGAAACCATTTTGCTCTTAAATCACACTAGCCTAATGGGTTGTTAGGCTTGGATGACCCTTTGACTATTTTTTGCTTAGACTGTCCAATTCATCACCACCTGATGGAAAGAAAGACATAGTCACCAAAAGCTTGAACAAACTCCAGCTGAAGCTCACCGATCTCTACAGGAGAGGGGCCAAGCCCCAAGATTTCAATTATGTGCAAATGCCAAGAGTCGGACTTTACAGAGCATAATATCCAAATGCTCAAATAGCATAACAGGGGTGTCAAACTCATCCATGCCTGGGCTGGATCTGCCTGGTGATTTGGATGCAACAACAGTGGTGGAGCACATGGCAGCGACAGCTTCAGGGGTTAATGCAGCTGTTCTTCACCGCCTGCCGCTGACATGCTTCTCAAACAGGGCTCCTTGCCCCAGATTTTGGTGGCCGGCTCCACTCCCACTTGCCCAGAAATCCCAGCCCCCCCTATGAGCTACACGACACATCTCCGCAGGCTGCAAGTTTGACACCCCTGATCTAATCCAAACCTGCCGGGTAAGAAACTCTGAATTAAGTTGCTGCTCTAGTCCGTTATTGGTGGGTCCCCACCCTGCCCCCACCCAGCTACTGAATGTCAAAACTAGCACACTACAAATAATAATTGTATAGTCATGTTTTGAAAGTAATTCTGTAAGAAAATGGCTTGTAGCATTCATTGTTGGGATTTTGTAAAACAAATGCACCTTCCAACTTTGTAAAATGCACAGACGTGAATATATTAAAGCACCGGTTTGGAGTACTCCGGAGACAAACATCCATGCCGTGGCCTTTATTTGGGGAATGTGGATCGCACCTTCCTGCTGTACATTGTATCCTGGGGTAGAGGTAGCTGCTCCATAATTAAGGCAACAAGTGGCCATTATAAAGCACAACTGCAAACCAACTCAGGTTTAGAAAATTAATTTTTCCTGGAAAGCACCAGGGTTGGGGCCTGAACTGAGGTCTGTTGAAGTATATAGAAAGGCTTCTGTTGGAAGGGGCCTTTATTCCTCAGGGAGACTGTTGGGATGACCATGAAAACCAAATTCCAGCCTGACACCTAGTAAGACTTTTGCTCTCAAAGGGAAAGCAAGATGAGCAGTGTAGCCACCCGGTGAATGCATGCATCCTGTTTTAAGGCAGGTTTCTAAAAAACTTATGATTAATGTACCCACCAGCACTCACTGCTTTAGCAAATAAAGTGGTGATGCAGCCAATTCCAGGCAGGTTACACAATTAAATGCTGTGTTGTTGTTTTGGGTGGAAGAAAGACTAAAAAAAGACAGCCTCACATTTTTCTATAAAAGTCAACAGGGATCTCAAGCTCCAGGGGCAGTCTGGATTCTCTTGGTTTCACTACCGGGGAGCTAAAAACAATGCAGAAGTAGCATGCGTTCATTCTGCCTGATTCTCTCATTTTATAAGGGATGGGGAATGTGAGGAAGGAAAAGGAAGGAGGAAAAAGAATAGAGGATGTGGCGGAGAATAGGGTGCTCCTGCCACTTTAAGGGCCTGGAGCTGGCAGCCTCCAGGTGCCTGATTGCGGCAGCCATTTTGAGGCCTATATAAACCAGGCAGTTGGGCTGCAGGAGGTCAGGCAGCAACATTGCATGGCCATAGGGCTGCTCTGAATGATCTGGAGGTAAGGGGGAGCTGCAAGGGGTTGGCAGGAGGGTCCTGGTCCTGGTCCTGAAACTGCACCCTGCCGGGAGTGGGTGGTCTGGTGGGGCTCTCAGTGGTGTGGGAGCCCCCAGGAAATGCCAGGCCAGTTATCACCCCGGTGAAAGGTGGGTTGGGGTGCCTTAACCCCTAGCTCCCACCACCACTGGGTGGGTGAACCCTGAGTGTTAGGAGAGGGCCTAGAGGGCCAGTGTTTGTGAGGGGCCCAGAGGCGGCAGATCCTGAGAGTGGCAAAGATGTGGGCGTGGTGCTGCGGTTACTCCTAGGAGGAGGGGAGTTGTGGCACGGTGAGGCCCGAGGAGACAGTGAGTGGCTAGAGAGACCCAGCCTGAAGGGGATAGTACCCTCGACTGGCACATGCTGGGGCCAGGACCAGTGAGGGTCAAAAGGGCTGGGGGCCCACCGCGAGGGATGCTCAAGAGCCGGGGGCCTGGGGTCCCAACTGGCCTTGAGGTGGGCCAGAGGGCAAGAGGCCGAAGGTTCCGGGGAAACCACACCCGAGAGGGGAAGATAGCTTCGGGGGGGTGAGGTAGCCCAGTTGACGGCGGAGTGGCCACCTGTGTAGCGAAGGTCATAGTGGGGTCTTGCGCAGAAGATTCTGGGGCCCAGTGTGGGGCCGGTGAGGAAGAACACCATGATGCCATCTGCGAGGCTTGGGCTGCGGTATTAGGGGAGGTCGGAGCCGCAGAGCGCCCCTTGGCATCGGGGCAGTACGAAGGGCAGCCTCCCGCTTAGTGAACAACCTAATTGAACTGATTATCATCAAAGGCGTGGCGGGCGAGATAAGCGGGCGGTTGCCCAGAGACAGAGGACGGGCCGTGGAGATCGGCCTGAGGAGGCCCTCCGTCACAGAGGGGCTTAGGGAACAAAAATGAGGGCCCACACGGTCTTACTCTGCAGCACCCATTAGTGAGGGTGAAGGGACACACTTTCCTGGAACAACCTAATTGAACTGATTATCATCAAAGGCGTGGCGGGCGAGATAAGCGGGCGGTTGCCCAGAGACAGAGGACGGGCCGTGGAGATCGGCCTGAGGAGGCCCTCCGTCACAGAGGGGCTTAGGGAACAAAAATGAGGGCCCACACGGTCTTACTCTGCAGCACCCATTAGTGAGGGTGAAGGGACACACTTTCCTGGGAAGCAACCATCCTTCAGTCCTCACTCCTTTCTGCCCAAAGGCGCTTCCTTCTCTCCCTACAACAAGTCCAACCTACGAAGTACCTGACAAGGGGTTTCTTCATACAACGGAGTCCTTACTATTACACAACCTCCTCCTTGGCCCCCTTCATCAGCAGAAAGAGAGGACGGGATGAGGGCAATTGTCCCTGTGGCTCTGTTCTTCCTTTTGCTACCCTTGAGTCCAGTCCCAAATATTACGAGAGCCCTTTGCAGTGGCACATTTCTCACCAGTGGATGATCAAGTGCAAGACAACAGCTTTCAAGATGAGGTAGCACACATACCAGAGGGATTTAACTGGGACCACCTAAGACTTATAGTGAGGGTATAAGTAGGACTTACCTGGTACGCAGGCCATATTCTAGCCTAATAGCCCTCTTCCCATGATAAGTTGTTTTTGCAACAAAAAACACGGATTCTCTGTTGAGGCATTTTAAAGAGAGACACAGGAAGAGACATAAAACAATGTTGTGCAGGAAAGTCCATCTGCTACGTGGTTCTTGGCAAGGACCAGCTAGAACAAGGCTGACGGTAATTAATTATTTGAAAAACAGGACATATCACTCTAAATTTGAGAAACGCAGAGATTTCTTTGTTTTGCATCCATCTATGTTCCAGACAGCCAGTATCCTGCTACAAAGATAAAAGCGCCCTGCATCCCATTTTATACCTATATATGAGAAACATGTAGTAGTTTGAATGTAAAAGCTCCTTGGATGAAGCTATTACTTTCTATAAACAGGCACCAGTTCTGTTTGCACACACAGGCCCAGTATAATAAATACATCAGTTTAGGATCTGCTTTGTTTAGCCTAATTTTGATTATGGCAATAGCTCACGCTAAGTGACTTTCTTACGACAAAAAACACGCTTCGTACCACTGAAAGCCTACGGACTCCCACTTTTTTACTACATGCTTATATGGAACAATTTAGTCAGTATATGCCTCAGTTTGCGGCACCTCATAGACCCCATAAAGAGGTCAGCTGCTTCAGAAAGTGCCAACCGCATTTTTCTAAAAATGATCTGCTTTAAGGTGCCTTGACTTATGCCTACTTAAAATTGAGACAGGCCCATTTACTAGCTCCTTCTTTATTACAGATTTCCTTATGAAACCGGATACTTCTTCAATGTAGTGAGAGCATGTTGAGTTCATTGGATGCTGAAGAATAGCAAATACCCAATTTTACCACGTAGACCACTCTTGGATGGAGCAAGGTGTGTGTTCTCACTCAAAGCCCAGCCGCTCACTCACAGTCATGACTTCACTTAGTTCAAAGCAAAAGACACAAGATAAGAACAAAGGACATTTGAAGCATTTGTTCCTGCAGCTGCAATTCTGAGAACAACATGGCTTCTACCTCGGCGCATACTTCAAGTGGTTAGAGAGCTCACGGTGCAGCAAACAAAGAAAAGCAACACAATCGCGAGAGCTCGGTGACATTTTTTAATCTGAGAAATCAATGGAAAGTATTTAGGTGACATTTTCATAAATTTCCTCTCCCTTATTTTTAGCCGTGTGGGTGGCATTTTCCCCATCGTTTTTGACCAGCTGCATAGAAAGGGGAATTTGTTCAAATTTTGATTTTTTTGGTAATAAAAAAACCCCAAAAATGCATCACAGAGTTTTTACAAAGACTTCTCATTTTTAAACCAGCTGTCTTTCAGCCTCTTCTTTGGTGGCTCCTGCTCTGTCCAACTGGAGTAGATGCTTCTCTTGTAGGCCTAAATCTGTGGTCACCGGGCATCAGGAGGAAATATGTACACCTGGGGGGGGGGCAAGAGAAACGGGTAAAGCTCAGGGCTGGTAGTGAAAGGCAGAGGGGAGGGGGCAGATAATACATTGGTGCATATCTGTCAAAAGGTTGTGCTGTTGGAAGACACCCATGGGTCTCACAGAGCAAGAGGTATCTGTCAAGGTCCCCCTTCTCTGGGTACAAGGAAGGGGAAAAGTCCATCAAATATTAACCCTTTTCCTTGAATGCAGGGGAGGAAAGCAGTAGCTGCCCATGGGGCAAAAAAGAGAAAGAGCGAGGAGACCATGGATGAGAGCAAAGGGCTTCCGATGAGACTACACCAAGTCGACTTACTACTGGAAGGATGTTAACCAACTGGGCAGCATTGAGAGAAGAGGGTTAAGAAAAGAAAACCTACACAGAGGGTGTTGAGACCAATATATGAGGAAAGTTTAACCGAGATAAACAAGGATGTACGTTTTGCTAAATAGCATCATCGCTATCCACAAGTATGTGAAGATTATAAACAAGGAAGAAGGAGAACTATTTAGGGTGATACATGGAAGGATGCAATAACTAAGGAAATGGCATAACACTTAAATAGGGACAAAGGAGATTGAATATCCAAGGAAAACTTTGTGTATTGTACTAGTGAACTTAGCTTTATAAATCTTGTTCTTTCTCTCTCCTTTAGTTAGTGGAGAAAGGTGCACATCACCCCTGCCTTCTGACTGACTTCAGTCTAACACAGCTAGTAACCAGCTCTCTCTATCATGCTGTGCAACATTATTCTAGGACAGGGTTGAGCAAAATGCAGCCCGTGGGCCGGATGCGGCCCACCAAGCCATTGCATCTGGCCCACTAAAAAAATTAGAAAATTAATATTTATCTGCCCCTGGCTGCCTGCCATGAGATGGCTTGCCAAAACTCAGTAAGCGTGCCTCCGCATGAAATAATTGCCCGCCTCTGTTCTAGGAGAAGACATTTTGGGGGCTATTTTAGCACTAGACTGGTTATAATGCTAGAAAACATACAGAACAAATTTTCAATTATAGGGACAGACAGGGTGACAATCAAGTTTTATTCCAAAGTGTGGTCTATGAACTATTGTTGGTCTCCGGAGCAATTGCTGGGAGCTGCTTGCTGGTGACTACCAGGTTGGTCACATCATGCAA